TAGAATAGAGGTTTTGCTAAAAAAATTTTTTTTTATATCTCAATTTTCTTCTAAAAATTTAAGCGTACAAATTTGTATGCTAAAATATACGGTTTAAGGGATAGTAAAAACTGTACCTTATAATAAACTTCAAAATGCCTCAAGTAAACCGCCTTTGCTTTTATAACCAACTTTGTAGAGCTCTTCATTTGCCATTATTAACAAATCTAAACATATTCTAATTTGCAGTATTTAAAGAAAAATCTTAATGTTTAAGTCAAAAAATTGTGAATCATGTAGTTGCCTTGGTTTCACGTAAATAAACATATAAATATGTTTTTAGTATAGAAAGAAAGTGCAAAGTTCAAAAAAAGACTTGTTTAATATTAAAATATTAATAAATATTAATTAGTTGATGTATTCTTTAAAAAAAGTCACGAGAATTTAGGTTATACAAAGATGATTTACTATTAAAATCATCGACAAAGACATGTCTTATGACTGTTAAACTATCTAATATTTTGATTAATAAAATAATAATATATTATTTATTTATTTTTTTTTTAATATTAAAGTGACCTCATAGTTGATAGCTTTTATTGGTTTTTGTATTACTCATTTGGTATATAATTTTGGAGAATACAACTAACCATATATACAACTTTTAATTATCTATTTAAGTAGATTCTACACTAGATGCTATATCTATAATCCAACTAGAGAATTATTTATTTAAACCCTCTGTATAATCACATTCTTATGAAGAACCAATCATGCTATAGAAAGCATACTTATCTAGAGCTAATTTACTTTTGAGATAACTTACTAGAGCTTTCTATACTCACAATTTGGCTAAACTAAACTTTGGTAACTTTCACTGAGTTTGAGAATAAGTATTTATAAGATGAAGCCACTACTATTATCTACTTTTGTCCTTATAGAATTTATCCAAACTCTGGTATATACTTTACAGACTTTCACTAGTTAATCCTAACAATCCCAAACTACCAATTCAAATAGCCTGAAAGGGCTGTGATCTACTTCTGGTCACCATAATTAGGTCTTTTTTCTCTAGTTACTTTTTAGCAGCCTGGTTGATAGTATATCTTGCTAAATACTTCAGTTCTGTTTAGTTTTGCTAGTTCTTCTAATTATGATCCTTTATATAGTACTATTAAAGATCTGTATTACCTTTCTATTTGGGTCTTGCCAAATAAGCACTCTACTTCCGTATCAGCTCTGTGACTTTCTGCAATACTGGTGCATATTCTGTATAACTTCTTCATTACACAAATATCTAGAATTTTTCAGTTTCATTAATTTGGTATGATCATAGTTATAGAGTTTTGAGTTTTTTCAGTAATGATAATAGTTGCCGAATCTATTTTTTCTAATTTAATTTTCATTTTCAGTGAGAATTGAACTTGTACTTAACTGCTTGGGGATGTGACAATTTTACCACTTTACTAAATTACTACACTCTTTAATAATACATTATAATAATATAAATAAATAAAATTTATATATAATATATAAACTTTTTATTTTGATTATACAATTAAATGATAATTTTTTCTTATTTATATTTACCTTAATAATAAATATTTTTATACTTATTTATAATAATAGATATTTTATTAATAATTCAAAAATAATATTAAATATAAAGAGCAAGTCAACAGAATAATAGCTAGATTTTTTATATTTGATTCATAACTATTTTTTGTTTTATGAAATACCTTTATGACAAAGATATTAAAGCTTAAATCTTTATATTTTATAATTAGATATTGGCCACTCTTCAAGATATATTGAAGAATTTGAAGAATTATTGTAGATTAGCAATAGATTTATAGACTTTTATAGTAATAGTAGTATCTCAAAATCATATATTCATAGATCAGTTTTGTTTAGAATTGCAAAAAATTAATTTGGCTATTAATAAAATAAAATACTCATATACTAAATATGCAATCACTTCTGTATTGAAATCTATTAACCAAGATTAGAACTTAAATATGAAATATTTTATGATAACAACTAATAATACCAAAATATAAAAAAAGATGTTATAAAAATTGAAAAAGTTAATTATCTTTCATATTGTATATATACTTTACAACTAGTTATAGGAAAAGGTTATTACTAGATAAAGTTTTAGTTATATGAGCAAAATAGTTAATATAATTTTTTACATCTCTTAAACAAAACAAACAGTTCAGTTTAAAATAGCACAAATTTCCTTAAATCGTAAAGTGTACAATAAAATTAACAATAATTATGAATATCTTAAAGTAATAATAGATATTGCAACAAGATGAAACTTTATATATATAGCATGAGTGAGAATTTTAAAATTAAAACTAGCAATCAAAATAATACAATTAACAATAAGTTATAGCAAAAACTCTATAAAAAAAAGATACAAGATATCTTAAATGAATTATATTAACACCTAATAAATAGCAATTAATGAAAAATTTAGTTAAAATTTTACAACCTTTTACTGATGCTATAAAGATGCTTGGTAGAAGCAAATATACTACAATGTTATATATATTTTTTGCTATACCATCTCATAAAAAATTGCTTAATATTATATATGATACTCAAATTAATATAAATCTTAATAATTCTAATATAGTTTTTAATAATAATTAAAAGTTTCAAAAAAAAAGTAATCTTATAGATAAACCTGAAATACTTAATATTAAATTTGAAACAAAAATTAATTAAACTCAAATTAATACTCCACAAATCTGTAATGGTATAGTAGAAAAGGTAAAAATTATATTATTTAATACTTTAAATTACTATTGAGAATATCTAATTTAAAAAGCTCTTCTTGCAATACTCCTTGATTCTAAAAATAAAAAAATAGAATTTGTGACTTATTTTCAAAGACTTGAAGCTGAAGCATATTTAGTGGCTGAGAATGAAGTATTTGAAGAGCAAAAATTAATATTGACAAATATAGTACAAATAGATAATCTTGAAAAAGAAGAAAATATCTTGTTAGCTGCTATGTAAGAATTTGACATCAATGATAAATTCAAACTTATTATATATTGCCAAAATTTTCAAGTATCTTTGTTCTTTAAAATAGTAAAACAAATAGCAATTAAATTTTCCTATATTGAGCAAAATAGCTTAAAAATATTTATATATTTTAGCTATATCTATAGGTAGTGAATAACTTTTTAGTGATGCAAAAATATTATGATTGCTAAGTGAGTTTGTTTAAATATTGATTTATATAAATATATACTATTTTTTAAAAGGAATACAAATTGTACTAGTGTAATATTTTTTTAAAATACTTTAAAAGCATTTATTTTTCAAAAATAATTATGTTATATATAAATTTTTAATTAGCAATATTAATAAAATATATACATTCTACTTATATTAGCTCTTTTTATAATAATTCATATATAAAACTTAGTTATTTAATATTTTTACTATAATTTATATATTAACATTATAATAAACTTATTAAAAAATTTTACTATTGTTTATTCACTATAAAAGTTTGCTATATGGTATATTTGTTTTGTTATAAAAGAGTATAGAGTCAACTATATTAATTTAACAAATTTAGTTAGTTAGTTTATAGTAGATATCTAAAAATTGTATTTATCTAGTGAATAAGCAAAATAAATAGTCAGATATTTACATGATCCAAGCGCTAGTGTTATAGTATATTTTAGACTCTAGGAATTTATTGCAAATAGGTACAATTAGAATTAGGATTTGCATATATA